ATCTATATCTATCGAAAAAGTTGACCGACAGATACATCCAGTCTCGCCTCTGTAATAGTCTTTTTCAAGTCGTTTTGCAAGAAAAACCAACGATGAACTCTTTTGTAGCAAGCTTCCTTTCATTTCCATATTTCATGCATGTGAAATGACGAAAGACACCATGAAGGCGGATGCAACCGCAACTTCTTGCAGGAAAAAAATAAGAGTTGAAACCTCCAGGTGGAAAAGTGGCAAAAATACCTCCTCCCCTCTGTCCTGTTTTGCTGCGAAGATAAGTCTGGGAAAATAACTTCTCTTCAGCTGAGAGCTCCACTGGAGAGAGAAAGTATCGCTCTCCCAACATCGGTGGCTACTCTTCGATTGTGATTTCCACAAGAGAGAGAAACAAAAAAAATTACACCCAGAAAATTTTGCGGATAAAGAAAGCTGCAAGAGGAAGGACCGTTGGGAACGCAGCTCCCCCTGACGCCTGTGCAGGAAAGGGAAAAATACCGCAGGAGAAAGGGACGATGACGGATCAGGCTGTAGGAACCAATGCTTGATTTTTGTGGAAGAGTAGTAGAAAATGACAGGAAGAGACGTTGGATTTTGGGGAAAAAGCTACATTGTTTTCTGTGATTGGGAAGAAGAACTTAAAAAAACTGCTGCGGGAGAGTCCTCCATTTAAGAACAATGGGAAGGTCCTGCGGGGAAGAACGATGGGAAAGTTTTGTGACTGGCTGGGAAAATAGAGAAGCCATCGACACACAACTCATTAGAGAAGGATTAGAGTCGACTGATAGAGTTTCAACTGAAATCTTGTGGGGAGAGGTTGCCGGCGAGAGGTTGGTAGTATTCCACGGCTTGTTGCCATGTGATATACACCCAACGAGAATCTCAAGGATGTCGTCACTCTAGATGCGCTTCAGTCTCACGACAAGAAGGTTCGATACTGGAATCCCGAGATTGAATCTTTAGCGGAGGGAGGTTCGACGGCTAGAACTACCTGCCAGAAGGATCAACAGCAGCAACCTTTAGAAAATCGATAGTGACGAGTGGAACCGTCGATAGTTAGGGTGAAAAACGACAACTTGGTGAACTAGCGCCTATGGATCTACATGACAAATATGCAATGGTTCTTTATAAGAAAAAAATTGCTAGGCACCCAACAACAGAAAATTTTCCACGGAACAAATCTCTACCAGAGGAAAAACAGTAGGAAGAAAAATTGTTGGGAAACTACCGCTTGCTTTCTGGGGGCCGACAGAGTCGAAGCTCCCGGCTCAGGAAGAGGGCCAATCGATAGGCCAAGCCTATAGGGAGAGAAGAAACAAAAGTTGTTGTTTCAAATACCAAGACGAGTGCCACTCCCTTCTCACACAGAGGATGATAGGGAGTCTGGTGGTTCTGGAAGGAGGACCAGTGTCTAGGGTACAAAATTAGGCTTTGATATCATGTTGAAATTCAGAATAATGCGGAATGTTGTTATTGACATGAAGAATGGTATAAATCTTGGACATTGACTCTTAAATGAATCCTAGAATATGAAATACAATAAAAAGAAAATAACAAGGAAGAAAAAAATATAATACCTAATATCTCAAATTAATCAATTCATATTAATTATGTGGAGATAACGAAACAACATAAAATAGAAAAACTTAAAATAAGAAAAGAAATAAATCCAATCCAACAAAATAAATCTAAAATAGGAAAAAAAAATAAAATTATATTAAGAAATAAATCTAATTCTACACATAAAATTTTTCAGAAACATAACATTAGCATGATTGTACTAAAATCAGTCTTTTAATATATTTCCGTAAAAGATATCAATAATAGTTTTGGAGTTCCAAGTTTTACTTGTTCATCCTTGCGTGAGTGTGACTAACCTTGATAAGACCCACAAAAAAAGATTCTTCTTTTTCCCTGGATTTTTTCTAGGTCGAGAGAGGCTTTTGACGCAGCTAACGAGGGTACAGGATAGCTAGTTGTCCACTCCAGTATCTTGTTCTTTGGAACAGAAGGGGGGTTTAGAGTTACAAGCAATGTTCGATCAACTGATCCCAGATTCTGAAAAAAATTATAATGGAATATATTTTTCATCGAAATTTATAATGAAGATAACATTAACCATGCTAAGTTAAAATAATATGAAAATGCAAAGTAAAATTTTCATCCATTACCTGAAGCACATTTAGCCAATATGTAAGATAACTTGTATTATTTTTCTCAAGAAAATTCCTAGCACTCCATGATGTTGGGTTTTGGGGCATCAGACTTTCATCACAGTGAAGATATACATCACTGTAAGTTGAGAAAAGTGACGAGCTTTCAGATTTTAAATACCGTAATTGATAAGAAAAATGAATTCTTTATTTCTTTAGTTATAAAATATTCAACAATAAATTGTCAATAGAATAAGCTAGAGTTTATCTATTTATGATAGTTCAAGAAGGGTTCTCTGATACTTTCAAGGAAAAAAAAATTAAGAAGTTAATGTTTCTGATGACTGTACTCAAGGCCTGAAGTATTGAACATAAGAACCAGTTAGAGCTATTAAAAAGATCTTGAATATTGAAACATGCTTGAATCATTTCCGAAACTCAACCCAAAACTTCAAGTTTTTATAGTACTCATAGCTATAGAAACCTATGCATTTATAAATTTGAAGGCTATTATATCCTTTCATGGTACAACAAAAAACTTAATGAAAAAGAGATTTTTGATTGTACAGGAGCATTATCATATATTTAACCTCAAAACTGGCCACACTAAGAAAGATGAAAAGTGCAACAGCAGGAGAGAAAGCTGCATGCATATGGATCATTTATATATATATACACATACAAATATGTGTGTGCGCGCGCGCTTATATTATAATTTATAATTACATGGTCAGATACTGAAAAAAAATACCTGTAAATATACCGAAAGGCACCAAGTATTCTTGATTCCTCGTAGGTTGCCTGCTTTCCAAGTATTTTTAATGCATCTGGTGCATGGACGGTGATTATGCATTCATCATAGAGTTCCTCTAAACCACTTCTTGTTATGACAGAGCAGCCTGTGGAAAACAAGCCATATATTGTTGATGATGTCAAAAACACAACACATTCTTCTAAGTAATGTTCTCAATCAAACTAACAGGTATGCACGAATTTAAGTTCTTTTTTCTTATTAATAATTATTTCTGGAGCGTTAAATGGCCCTGATATTGATGGTGGGAAGAAGAAAATATTGACACAATTTGGCGCGATCAGTATACAAAAACTTCTGTTGACGTATCAAAGATCATATGTTCAGCATTTTATACAAATGATTGCCAACTATAAAATTAACAATAAAATTTTCTATAAATAATTAACTGACGAGATATCAAGTAATTAGAAAAGCAAGCTAAGTAAATTTCTCAAAATAATAGAAAAATATTAAATTACTTTTGTAACATATGAAATGCATTTTAAAACAATTTTAGTCAAAATCTAAATTAACTTCACTCGTGTTAATGATTTATAAGACTTGGTTAATCTTGTCGTTCAGTTTATATTGAAAAATACTTCTTATTCACACACTAAATGAGCTTTTGCAATTGGATTTGACTGGTGGCTATGGAGGACCGACCGGTTTAGGGAGGGGGGGTTACTGCTCCTCCGTTTTCTCTCGTTTCTTCTTAGTACCTTCCTAATATAAGTTTTTCCAAATCTGAATTTATGAATATTTTTTTTCATATTTCTTCTGAGATATGATTTTATTCTTTCTTATTTTAAAAATATTTTCTAAAATATAAAATATGATTTTATTCTCCGTTCTTATTTTAAAAAGCATTTCCTAAAATTTGAAATCTGATTTTATCCTCTTTTTTATTTTAAGTATTGCCTAAAATAAAGTCCTTGCCTCATTATAAATAGAAAATGATGCGCTTAGACTTAGGGGTCTTGTTTTTGGTATCTGAATTCATGTTTTAGCCTTGTTATTTTTCCTTCGAGGGCTGTATCCGACGTCTAGGTAATGCTCCTGCCGTCCATTGTCCGAGGTGGTGATCGTCTTCAAGGGTCTTTGTGGTGCTACCATACTTCCGTTTTTCTGCTGTCGTTTTAGAATTTTGCCACCGCAGCCCCTCTTCCACTGCTGCCAACCGCCTTCCTACTTCTGTCCAGCCACCGTGACCCCTCCAACATGCTGTGCAACCCTTTCAGGCCCTTCCTGGCAGCCTGTCAACACCCCTATAGCAGCTACCTTGCTGTCCCGACCTTTCCCATCGCTGCCAGTGCTTCCTCACTCGCTATCCACCCTTCGAAAATGCTGGTGAACCTTCCCAGCTACTGTCCTACTTCTTCCACAACAACCCCCACCTCTCCAACTTTCACCGCAACCACCAATCCAGCCTCCAATGACTTTTTACTTCTTCCACAACACCCCCCTCCTCTCATGCCACCTTCACCACAACCGCTAATCTAGACTCCCATCTCCGGACTCCCTCTTCATCAAGTTTATTGTGTCTTCTTTGTTGAGTCATTAGTTGTAATTCTTTATTTTGTGCTTTTGTTTTGTGTGCTGTCTTTTATAATTTCAAGTTTGAAGTCAGTAGTAAATTTGTGTCTTGCATCATGGTTTGGGTTAACTCTAGTATCAAGGATTTTCATGAATACTCCAATTCAACCAAAACTTCAAATTAGTTTATTGGATGCCTTTATCATCATCATATTTGTTAATAATTGAATTACTTGTAGAAATCTTAGTTAATCATTAAATGACTTCACATAATATTTATTATCATCAAATCACTAATGTGCTACATATGGGGCTTTTTAAATTTTTGAGACCCCGTGTTTGTTTCCCAAAAAAAAAAAAAAAAACATAGCTAGTTGAACGTTCTTCCTAAAATAAGGAGTCATTTTTGATAAAAAATTATGCACCAAAAAAAAAAAAAAAAAAAAAAAACATGTCCTGAAAAATAGCAATCAGTTTATTTTCTAGTTTAATTAACAGAAATAGAAGCTACAATATCTATCGCCATGTAAAACCATCGAACAAATTATAAAAAGCTTGAGACTCTTAGTGCAAGAAGATTTGTTTTGCTTGATTTGCCTTCCGTATGAAATGGATGTTTATTCTCATATTTCTTTATTTTCGTGGATTTATGAATCAGCATAAATGCAGTTCTGTATCGCAAAGTAAAAATGGCATCGTCTTGAAATAAAAACACATTTAATATTGCTCTAATTTTATTTTATTTTTTTTGGAACTTTGGAAAAATTGAGTGCAAACCCACACACATAGCATTTTATATTAGACCTTGAACTCAAAATCTCTTAGTTGGAAGTCTAAGTTCTCAACCAACAAATTAAGATGACTTGTATTAATTTAGCAGTTAAATCTAAATGAGATAAAAAGTAATATATAAAATGTCTAAAAAGCATGTCAATTGTCAGATATTTTCAAAACTATTATGGGACAGGGAAAAAAAAAAAAAATACAACTCACCCTTTTCAGTATTTGATACTGTTTGTACAACACATCCCAACTTTATATGACAACCTCTACCCTTCAACTCTTCTCTTATCTTCAAAACATCATTTTATTTGAACTAAAGGTTAGCATTATAAAAGACAGATCTTTAATTAAATTTATCTTGAGAAGCCAAAATATCAAATGAATTACCTTATTTATATAGTTTTGTGAGAGGCACCTAGCAGTGAGTCCTTGTGGTCGGGCATCGAGCTAAAGGAGAAAATTCGAACAAAAAATGTTTAGCCACACCAAATTACTTTAAGGAGTATTAATTTTGGAAAAGAGTACTTGGGCTTCCTTTGGTATAATTGCTTAGTGCTAATGTTGTATATTTGAAATAAAATGAACATATTCTTACAAAAAATATGAATTGGTCTACAAGTCAATTTATATGCTCATGAAGTCATAAGAAAAGATATAAAAACAAAATGGTGTCTTTTTAATATATTTTCTTATAAACTAAGATTATTCATAAAAAATTTAAGTCCAATAACAACAACAAAAACAACAACAACAACAAGTCTTTATCCCACTAAGTGGGATCGGCTACGTGAATTCTTTTTCTCCATTGCGTCCTATTCAGTGCCGTATTTTTGTTTAATTCTAATAAATTAAGATCTTTTTTTATGAAATATGCCAAAGTATTTATAGGTTTACATCTGCCTTCTTAACACAAGTTGAATCTAAAACATCTACTCTTCTAACCAGATCATCAGATGCTCGATGTTTAATGTGACTAAACTATCTAAGACAACTCTCTATAATCTTGTCTGCCACTGTAGCTACACCAACCCTGTTACTAATATATTCATTTTGCATTTTGTCTCTAAAGTGTCAAGCCACTCTTCCACTTAAGCATTCTCATCTCAACAACACATAACTCTGTTTTATGCTTTTATTTTAAAGGCCAACATTCTGCGTCATAGAGCATTGCAGGTGTCACCACCATCTTATAAAACCACCATCTTATAAAATTTTTAAATTTTTCTTTCTGTCTAAGCGGTACTTTTCTATCACACAATAGATCCGATCAACTTGAATTTTACTAATAACATCCTTATCTATATCATCAACACTTTGAACAGTAGATCCGAGATATCTAAAGCGTTCACACCTTTTAATGATTTGATCACCCATAGTCACACCTCTGCTTACAACTTTACTACTAGAGCCTAGAGCTACTACTGCTAAAATTACATTCCATGTATTCAATTTTAGATCTACTTAGACGAAGGCCTTTAAACTGCAATATAGATTTCCATAATTCAAGTTTTTCCTGAACTCTTTATCTAGTTTTATCTACAAGAATGATATCGTCAGCGAAAAGCATACACCAAGATACATCTTTCTGTAAATGTCCCGTAAAAGTACTACCACAGTAGTGAGTGAAGATAATAATTTAACATGAAATAAAAAAAATTTCATATCTGATCTGAGATGAATGAGTAATCTTGGATAAATTATTTAGATTACCTTCATCTTATATAATTTTGAAAATTAAGCAGAACAATTATTTTTTTTAGAATTAGTGACATGTTTTAAAATTCGTAGAACCTATATATTTGAATATTCTTCAGTAAAAGGGTGTTTATATACATACCCTTCAATTCCTATGTATTTATATATCTGACACCTAGAATTTACTTTGTACATTTACACTACCCAAATCATTCATTATCACATCAAAATATCACTATATAACTTTTGAAAAGGTGAAATACATCTTTTCATGCTTAGGTACAGTTATCATATATGTAAAAATTGAAGTTTAGGTGTTAGATATGTAAATACTAGGAATTTAGTCGAATGTATGTAAATCTTTCTATAAGTAAATTAACAACATCTTGAAATAATATGTAAATACTAACCTCTAGAAAGTGATTATTGAGGCAAAAAGATAGCACAGTATAAGCAGAGAAGTTCTGTACTTCTTCTGAAGAACATGACCATATAGATGCACATGTAGGAATCTGAATCATACCAAAGAAAAAAATAATAATAAAGCAAAAAATCAGATCTTTAGAAATAGGCATTCATTAAAAAATATTTAAAAGATCAAATCTCACAAGAAATTCATTTTGAAATAGCTGAGAGTATCCTTGTGACTTTAAGTAGAAAGCCAATGTTTCACTGCGGTCCAACTTAGGGTTTTCTTTGCGCTCATTGAGGTACCTTTCATATTAAAGAGATGTAAGTTTTTTGCTTGCTAAAGCCATAATTATAGAAAAACGAGATGGCAAAATTATAAAGCAAAAAATGGTAACTTGATGTAAAAAAAATAAGAAGAAGTTGAAAATTATGAGGACTTACCTAATGGCATCATTCTTAAAGATGAAGATTTCTTTAAACATATACCAAACAAAAGGGTTCACCATGTTGGTTTTTTTTGCAAACAAACTTCTAAAGCCATTTCGATTGCCCCACTCATAATTCCCATCTTGTAAGCTTATTGAGAATGACATATCAGTTGCTTCCATCTTCACATCAAGTTCCTCGAACAATTTTGTCATGTTTTGAAATAAAATCTGTGGTACATAAATACTAAAACTTACATGCACAAACATACAGAGAGGAGAGAGAGAGAGGAGGGGGTGGGGGAGGGAGGGAGAAATTAAAAATGGAACAATTGATAGAGATCTCTTGTAAATTTAGTTTGACCTTCTATCTCGTAAATTTAAATCATTAAATTTATCTTGAAAATCATCAACAAGTTGTTTATTTAATTTTGATCTCTTTAAAGCCACTATGCTTTGAAATCTCAAAAATGTTCCGATAAGATTAGAGTTAACAAATAAAATTTTTTATGCAACTTATTAATGATCTGATTCTCTTAAAAGTTCTTGACTTATTTATGACACTATTTTTAAGAGTTTTAAAATAAATTATTAATTTTGATTTTATGTTTGAAAGTCTGAGTGTTGGGGAGGGAGAGAGAGATATTCCGACCGCTGTTTTTAAGAATTTAAAATTGGATTATTAATTTTGATTTTACATTTGGAAGTCTGGCTTTGGAGGGGGAGACACAGAGAGATAGCACTTTGTTTTTTAAAAAAGAAAATTGTGTCAAACTCAAATCGATATTTTGTGGGATCTTAGAACCTTTATGATAATTTTCAGATTTTTACCAAATAAACTAACTAGCACCCATTAGATCCTAAGCTTTAGTTCTTTTCATTTTTTCCTTTTTTTTGTGGGAAGTGTTTAGGTTGACTCATGGGTGGACTCAGGAAGGGGTCGAGGTTGGGCAATGCCCTCAAATTCAGATTTTTATTTATATGAAAGGGTAATTTGACCTTTTGCCCCTCCATAAATATTAATTTTGCCCCGCCTAAAATATCATTTTGCCCTTCATTACCATAGCCCCTCCCACGTTAACTGTCCCCCTCAAAAAAGAGACTGGTTTCACCCCTAGGTTGACTTGAAGCTTGTAAGATAGATATTTCATATAAGAATTTATCAAGGAGTTTTTTAGGGGTAGAAAAAAATTTCTTCTAAGCAAATCATTATATAAACTTGATCCTTGATTCAAGTCGAAACAAATCCTTAAAAATACCCATTGTCATAGTTGTTATACATCCATTAAATTGAAAACTTGGCTGTTCCTTAAGGTTTTTTTGGGCTGTGATGGTCATTGGCAATGCGAACTGTCTGATTTGCTTTATATAATGTAGATGATTGTTTGATGAATACACCCTGTATGTCATTCTTAATTATTTAATTTTTATTAGTGTAAAAGATATGGCTAGTGATTATGGTATATATGCTTAACTGAGGATTTTATTAATGATGTCAATTGATTTCTCAATCTTGCATTTTTTAGAAAAAGTAAATGTTTCATCAAATAAGCTTAATCCTCTATATTTAAAATGTGATGTGAATGGGTGCTAGCTTCTTAATGCATATGATGACGTAATAGTTCATCGTTATAAGAAAAGCTTCACTAAATGTTATTCATTCTAGCATGTTCAGGATAAATTATTTAGCAAGATTTGTAAAACTATAACAAAAGGTAGATAATTTGCTCTACAATTAAATGTTTTATAGGACAATAATAATGGCGAAATTATTAATAATTACCAATAAGTAACAACTCGAATGAAAAGGATTATAACCCCCTTATTTGAGCACATGGTTTGATAATTTTAGTTCACGAAGAGGTAATTTTGGAGGTGAATGGTTGAGTTGAAATTTCAGTACTTTACACATCACATGTAGATCTTCATACTGATACTTCCAAGAAATATAAAGAAGTGTAAGATAAAATGTTAAACTGAGAGTAGATGCTAGAAGGCTTAAGGCATTAATAAAACAAGAAGATTACAAAATAGTCTCGCAGGCTATCTAACTCTTTCTATTTACATGTAAGTTGAGTAATTGAAGCAATATTAATTTTTTATAATATTTCTGTGTTATAATTTTTAAAATACCAAGTTTTAGCATATTTGTTGCTCTAACTCTATATTTAGTTGTAGTTTAATTGATTCATATAATATTAAAAATTTCAATGATGTTTGTTGTATAAATTTTCAATCATATTATATGCTTATCAACTTTGCTTTCTTAGTTTTGTTGATTAGATAATGACAATATTTATTGGCTAAGGATATCAAGAAGGCCTCCATGCATCGCTTCCATGCAGTGTTTTGAGGCAAGTTTAGTTATGCTCATAATATTCTCAAGATTTGACGCCTTTGATTTATTAAATTTTATTTTTATTTTAGGCTCATTGCGCCTATGGATTAGAGAAGACGATCATAGTGATGGATGCTTAAGAGAGGATTATTGCGACGCCACTTACTGAGAATCTTAATGTGGCTTGTCATGAAGTCCTTATAAAAGTAGGGAAATTTACATACACAGCAAACAATTCTTATGTATTTATATGTTTCACACCTAAACTTTTATATTTATGTACACAACATTTTGGCGCTTTAAATTTATGCATGAAAAAGGTGGATTTTATTTTTTAAAAGTGGTAATATTGCTATTTTGGATGCGATATTAAAGATTTGAGTGCTATGCATGTATATATAAAATTTTAGGTTATGGAGATGTAAATGCCCCATTAGAACTAACATTGATTGTATTGGCAATATAAAAGATTGTGAGATTCATTAGATGGACAATGTTGAATGGTGATTAATTAGTGATTTGTACCAATCTCAATTGATTTGCAAGCTTTAGGTTTATAATTAGTAAAAGTTGAAAATCAGTCTTTATTTTCACCTGCGCAAAATGATCTAAAAATAGTTTTTCATTGGTTTCATATTTTTAATTTTTACTATTGACTATTTTTTTGAAGCATTCATTGATCTTTTTTGTTACCAATAATCTAATCATAAACTTACATTAGTGATAAAAGAACGTGTCATTTGTGATTCAGATCATCAGTTATAAATTATCTTCACCATTCTTGTGGTGGTGTAAGAAATAATGTTGTATTTTAGTTGCATTCCATAGTAATATAACTATAATCAAAATGCCACTTTATTAATGATAATTTGTTCAGAAGGGGGATGGTGACACTTGAACCGTTTGGTTCATCATCTTCACCATTTCTGTCCACATTGCTTGAAGTTCTCACATATTTCATCCTCTTTTCCATTCTAGGTTTCTCAGACTTTGCACTTGAAATAGAAGGGAAGGTCCCGACTATATATAGCCAAAAGAGGAATAGTAACGAGTGAGAGTAAATATGTAGTATTAAAGGAACTGAATTCCCAACCAATACTGCCAAGACATCAAAACTCATTAGGTGTCTTTCTATAGTGGTTGAGGATTGATTTTCTTGATAGGTCAATATTTGCTTAGCACATTTTATGTCTTCCTCAGGCTTTATAGGAGATGTGATGGTTATATTCTTAAATTGAAGGTTTTTATTTTTGATTGTTCGGAAATATTTTAAGGGTTAGCTTAATAGAGAATTCATAGCTTGATCATGACTTCGTGACTTAACAATGAATTCATAACTCAAACAACGAGTTCGTAATCGAAACCTCGAGTTGATTGCTCAAACAACTTGTAAAGCAAATGGGGTGTGTTAGAAGCAAAGTGAAAATCTTGCTAGAGAGCTGTCTTATTTGTCTTCTTATATCGTTTTCTAAATTTTCAAGCATCAATAAGTTTTTTATACACTTAACTATATTATTTGGACACAAGTCAAGCCCAAGAGGATAGACTCTACTTCTTATGATAAGATTTGTAATGATTAGTACGCGAGTCACTGAGGCGAACCTAAGTGCTTACCTTTGTGAAGACAATGACAAGACTCATTTGATAAGTTTGGTCAAAAACATGATGCATTAAAATTGGAGATTTAATTAAAAAATAATACTAAATATAAGGATAGTATAAGACTTGAACCAAAGGAAATTTAAACGATCATTTCATTAAAGGTGAATTGCATAATTGATTTCTCCTGTTCGCACCGATAAGCATTGATGAGAAGATTCAAAAATCACTATTTTCCTTCCGAAAGATATTCCAAAATTTAGAAAATATTATGAACTTCATATAATATATAT